ACGGAAAGAGAGATCATTATTGTTACGTGTATCACGCGTTGTTCAGGTAGGTAGACGAAAGAGATAAATAGAATAAATAAAGTATAAATAAAATGAAATAAAATAAATGGTATAAATGAATGAATGAATGAATGAATGAATGAATGAATGAATGAATGAACGAACGAACGAATGAATGAATGAATAAATCAATCGATCGATCAATCAATCAATCAATTAATTAATTAATAGAAAGGTAGAGTGAGAAGGTAGTGCCGAGAAGTCAAAGTCTTTTTTCGCATTTTGACGGACTGGGTATATACGGGTGCGGGAGCATACAAGGTGGAAAAAACGTTCAATAGGAAACAAAAAAAGAGGGGAGGAAAAAAAATGAAAAAAAAAAAAAGAAAAAAAAAAGAAAAAAAAGAAAAAAATACCCTAGAAAAAAAGAAAGAAAAAGATAATAACAGACAAAGGTTATCGAAATATTATGTTCTTAGACATGATGAGAACTATCAAGCCGTGTAATGATGAAAATTCTCGTAGCCATTAGCCAATGTTTAAAATAGGATGTGTTTTTCAAGGGAATAATTGATAATCTCAATGACTCGTAAGTAACTTTCTCTGATAGCGTTATATAATGTTTAATAAAACGAAAGTGATGTATACCGCGTTAATTGTTAATTAATATTTACTGAAAGAGAAAGAGAAAGAGAGAGAGAGAGAGAGAGAGAGAGAGAAAGAAGGAAAAGTTAAAAGTGATTCGTACATTAATTATTGCCGAAGAAAAAAAAAAAAAGAAAAAAAAAAGAGAAAAAGAAAAAAAGAAAATCATCTATCGTAACTATTACTAGTGATGCCTAAAAATTATTATACATCAAGGAAATACTATAAACTATTACTACTATTACTATTACTACTATTACTAGTACCACTACTATTACTATTACTATTATTATTATTATTATTATTATTATTATTATTATTATTATTATTATTATTGTGATTATTATTATTATTATCATTATTAAAGTACTAATTACTATAACACACTATTACTTACAACGACTAAAGTACATAGTAAAAGAGAGAGAGAGAGAGAGAGCTTAATATTTACGAGATGAGATTGATGAATGAGAATTGATTAAATCCAGTTTAAAAAAAAAAAAAAAAAAAAAAAAGAGAAATAAAGAAAAATAGAAAAAAAAAAAAGAAAAGAAAAAAGTTCAGAACTATAATGAAAACTAAGCGTTACTGTCGTTAATGATTTTATCATTGAAAATTTATAATCTCTTTATCGTATAATTACAATAAATATTATCTATCAATTGGGCACTAAACGTGCCTAAGTTCATGATCATCGTCGACAAACGAAATTCAATAAAAAGTTTCTAGGATGTAATTGCGAACGGGCGAATTAGCGAAAACGAACGAATGAATAAAGAAAAAAAAGAAAAAAGATAAGATATCAACGGCGTGAGTAAGTACGCGTATCGTTTCAATAAGTAAAAAAAAAAAAAAAAAAAAAAGAGAAAAGAAAAATCTATTGGTACTACAATGTTACGTCTTCTACGATTTTTTCTTTGTTTTTTTTTTTTTTTTCGTTTCTTTACCATAGAACACGTTCGATTGAATATGAATTAGAATCAGGATACTTCTTATTTTTATTACTTTTTATTTATTTTTCTTCAAAATTTATCATTCACAAAATACTTCATTTCTTTTTTTATTTCTTTCCTTTTTCTTTTCTTTTTCTTCTTTCTTTTTATATTTAATATTGAAAACATTTACACGAACGTTTCGACATGAAATAAATAATTAAAAAAAAAAAAAAAAAAAATATATATATATATATACGTGTGTGTACATATACTCATGAATTAGACGAATCATGGATTTCACAGAACGATATAGAGATAATGCTTTTATTTTCCTCCTAATTGAAATTTTGAAATTCAACAATAATAATGATAATCGACTTTTTTCTTTATTATTTTGTCGAATAATAAAAAATCCCGAAAGTTTCCCTAGTAACATTTCATTGTAATATTATCTTTTCAAGGTATTTTAAAAACGAATAGATAATATTCATCCTTTAGTTATTAATATAATGAATGTATTTTCGCAAATAGTATTCGCGAAAAAACATAACGTCGTTTATTTCATTCCTATGAATATTTCAATGAATTGATTCCACACAGTAAGGAAAAACAAAACGGAAATAAAAGAATAAGAAAAATAGAAAGAGAGAGAGAAACAAATGCCAGTATCGCGACCAACACTGCCGTTTTTTTCACGTTATTCCACACAGTATTTCACGTTATCGCGAGCGAAAACAAAAAGCAATAAATTTTGTCGTAGTAAAACATAAACATAGAAAATAGCGTTACGAGTTAATTCAAATACATAAATAATTAAATATATACATAAATAAATGAATGAATGAAGAAATAAATAAATAAATGAATAAGTAAACCGGAGACAAAATTTTGTGGAAAAAAAAAGTAAATGCGACAAAATCATCTCATCTGAATTTTTAAACGAACGACGTTCGAATCAGTTTCCTGTCTTCTCATCTTTCCGCAGAATGGAAACTTTCAAATGAACAATAAAAAAATAAACACGAATTAGGACGAGGGGTTTAAGAGGAGGATGAACATACGAGGGAGAAACGAACAAAAGAATTCATTTGTTTTCTAGTCAGCTCTTAAAAATAAGAGAGAATTTTCATTAACGATTAATTATTTTTACGACTTTTATTTTGAAGTAAGTATATAAGGTTTTTTCTTTTTTCAAGAATGAGAGAGAGAGAGAGAGAGAAAATGCATATGTTGCAAGGAATCTGCAACGAGTACGTATCAAGGAAAGACGTCATAAAGAAAGGTTAAAGTGTATGTATGAGAAAAATATAAAGTATGTATGTATGAGAGAAAGAGATAGAGAGAGAGAGAGAGAGAGAGAGAGAGAGAGAGAGAGAGAGAGAGAGAGAGAGAGAAGGTAGAAACAATTGCACGATTGCGATTATCAATTTTAATATATTCTTAATTATATACATATATAAAACTATTATTAATTATCAGATTTATAATTTATATTAAATCGTCGATTAATGAATATTATCGCCATTATTTTTATGATGATGATGATGATCTTTATTATGATTATGATTATAATTATTATTATTCTCATTTCATCTTCTTCTTCCTCTTCTTCTTCTTCTTATTATTATTATTAATATTATTATTATTATTATTATTATTATTATTATTATTATTATTATTATTATTATTATTAATATTATTATTATTATTATTATTATTATTATTATTATTATTATTATTATTATTATTATTATTATTATTATTATTATTATGATTATTATTATTATTGATCAGTTATAATCGCTGCAGCCATATAATACCTTTGTAAATGAGAATCAAGACACTGACGGCTAGGAAAAAACTTAATAAATTGAAATTCTATTAACCCAAACGCGTTAGATGATCATTAAAAACCCTCGGACAATAAAAGTTACTTATTAATTGTAAGTATTTACTCGTTTATATTTTATTCTTCATCCTTGTCATTTAATGGATTTTTTTCTTTTCTTATTTTTTTTTCCTTTTTTTTTTTTTTTTTTTTTTTTTTGATCGGATCAACTTCAAGAAATAAATTTTTACTCGTCGTTTATGTATTATTCCTGATCCTTCTAACATTGTTATTATATTTGATCGAATTAAATTCGAAAGATAAGAGAATAGTCGCAATTACGAGTTAAAAAAAAACTATTTCTTTTGAAATAGTACAAATGAGAAGTTGATTAACACAAAATCACGTGATTTTGAATTGATATCTTATCTAGTTTGAGAGAGATGATAAGCGAGCATAATTATTAAGATTTTCCTATTTACGTCTAAAATTATATAACGGAATAAGAAATTTGCTTAATGATCGGCATGAATATTAATCTAATTAAATGAATTATTTGATGTATTTAGTTTCTTTTTTTTTTTTCTTCTTCTTTGTAATTTTTGAAAGTTTACGATAGATAAGATCGAGTAAATGATGATCGGTAGTGATATGAAAAATATGATCGTAATAAAATTTTTCAATTTTTTCAAAGTCGTTCTACGAGATACAATATCAGAAGGAAAAATAATAATAACGAACCGATAATCACTTTGAAAGATTTTTCCAATAATATTAGCTCGAAATGAATCGATATTTTAAAATTTAAAAAAGAACAACGTCTGGCAGTAAAAAAAATTTCCTTGAAAATGAATTTTGACATAAAATCTTTTAACGAGAAAATATTTAAAAAGAAAAAATTATCCTCTTACGAATTGAAAATTATTATTAAACCGCTAAACGATAAGATTATATTTCTAACGATTATTATGCATAACAATGACGAATATCGTCGATTATGAAATGTTTTCACGAAGAAGCGTTAATTCCCATGACGTAAATACATACATGATGTAATTTAAAATATTTATCCTAAGCTGTCATATGAAATTTTACTTTGTTAAAAATTGATATATCAGAAATTTTGATTTCCATTGAAACGTTACTATTTGTCCCGCTGTACGATTCCTTTTCTCCTTTTTGTTTTTTGTTTCTTTCTTTTTTTTTTCTTTTTTTTTTTTTTTCTTTTTAAAACCGAAGAACGACAAAGAACGCATTACAATATTATTCCATTGGCTGATCTACAAAAGAAGTCTGTGAACTTTCGGGTCATCTATTCTACATTTATACGTTTCCTTTGTACGAGACTAATAAAAGAATGAAAAAAAAATTAAAAAAGGAAACAAAAATACATATATATATATATATACATATATATATATATATATATATATATATATATATATATATATATATATATGTATAGTAACTTTTCTCGTAATGTATGGAAATATAACATGCGATAGAAATAAATATCACAATTTCATTAATAATAACTATCAAATTCGAATTTATAATTTACTTATTATTTGCTGATTTCGGATATCATTATTTCGTTTCGTTTTTCATTTTCGCTTTTGTTTAACGTTTTTATCTTCATTAAAAATAAATCCAAATTCACGTTAAAAGCGTCGATTATTTCATTTAGATGTATGCATATTAAAGAGAAAAATTAGGGATAAGAAAAAGAAGAATAAAAGAGAAATGATAAAAAGGAAGAAGAAAAAAAAAAAGGAAAAAGAAAAAAGAAAAAAAAAAGGAAAAAGAAAAAACAAATAAAAACAAAGAAATTTTTTTGACCCACTTAAAAATTCAATTCAAATCGATAAAATATTAAAGACGACGATGACGACTTATCTACAAATTCGCGTATAGATCGAATCTCTTGTACGCTCCTGGGGCATGCGCATAAATGGATTTGTTAGGAGTATGAAGAAGTGTGATCGTGGAATAGTAAGCAACATGTCAGATACATATGATACTTTTTTCTTTCTGTTCTGTATTTATAAATAAAATAGAAATGGTGCATAAATATACATATATATAGATCGGGTTGATCGATAAAGAGAAAAGAAGAAGAAGAAGAAGAAGAAGAAGAAGAAGAAGAATAAGAAGAAGAAGAAGAAGAAGAAAAAGTAGGAGGAGGGAAGAAAAAAAAAGAAGAGGAAAGAGAAAAAAAAAAAGGAAACATGTGATGGGTCATTGTTGTGAAGGTGAATGTACTAAGGAAGTTTTTTTTTTTTCTTCGGTGAAAAAAATTGTTCGAAAGAAAAGATTGTGAACATTGATTAGCGATAGCAATGAGGCCGAGGACGAGGACGAGGACGAGGAAGAGGACGTGGAAGAGAAGGCCGGCAACCCTCGCAGTACAGGTATCGTCGCGTTGCTGTGTACACGTATCATCATTGGAAAGCTCCTCTCTTCTCTCATTCTAAACTGACATCCTCATAGAATCGATATTGTCGTGAGACTTATATTTTGAGATAAAGAGAGAGAGAGAGAGAGAGAGAGAGAGAGAGAGAGAGAGAGAGAGAGAGAGAGAGAGAAAGAGAATTAGCTTGCGCGCGCATACGTACACGTGTTTTTCTATACCTGTGTGTGTGTGTGTGTGTGTGTGTGTATGTGCGTGCGCGTGCGTGTGTATTTATCGAACATTATTAAACGAAAATTATTTTTCATTCGTTAATTAAGTTCATTTTTAAATAACTTAAATTCAATCGACTTTCTAATTTATTCAATTATTTATTCGTTTATTTATTTATTGGTTCGTCAATTCGTTCGTTTATTTAATTATTTATTTATTCAAGTTTTTCTTACGAACAGTAAAAAAAAAGAAAAAAAAAAAAAGAAAGAAAAAAGAAGGATATAAGGAGATATAATCGTTTTTTGTTTCTATTATTTTTATTTGAATTTTATCCTCTTTTCTTTTTCTTTCCTTTTTACGTTTCGATTGAAAATCGACATCATGTCAGAAACAAAGGATCTGAGAAATGTGAAAGAAGAGGAGATTCAAAGGTTCCTCGATTCCTTCGATATCGTCCTGTCGGATTGTGACGGTAAGATTAGAAATAAATATTGTATTTTTCATTTAATTGAAATTATTCATTTTTCTGTTTTTATTCTTCTTCTTCTTCTTCTTCTTTTTACCCTTTTTTCGTGACTGACACAGGTGTTCTTTGGCACATTGATTCGCCCATTGAAAATAGTATTGAAGCTTTGAAAAAATTGCAAAGCTTCGGAAAGAAGATATTTCTCGTGACGAACAATGCAACGACCGGTACAAGAAAGATTTGTGAAAGACTTCGTATTAATGGCCTCGAGACTAAAGATGTGAGTAATTAGAATATGTTTTCAATTAATGTCATTCCAAAATTCAATTATTCATGCCAATGATTTTTTAATATTGTCGATCTATATGATCGTCGATATCAATCGATTTTTTATATCTATTTGCATTTGTTAATTCTACCTATATATATATATATATATATATATATATATATATATATATATATATATATATATATATATATATATATATATATACATATATATATATAAATCATTTTTGTTTTCTTTAAAAGAAAATAGAATATAACATTTTTATGGATCAATAACATGTTTAAAGATACATTTCACAGGAAATAATTATCTTTTGAACTTATGATCATAAATGTTAGGCAACACAATTAACATTTAAACAAGTGATATAGCAATGAGATTAAAAAATATATTTTAAAGAGAGGAAGAGGGAGAAAGACAGAGAGAGAGAGAGAGAGAGAGAGAGATAGAGAGAGAGAGAGAGAAAGAGAGAAACGATTTGTCTTATTAGGTTAAAAAAGATAATATTATCAATAGCTTGTTGTTTTTTCGTTTCATTATACGAATTTATTATTTCGATTATTCGACTAAAGCTACCAAGCGGATGAAAATATTTCATATAATGTAAATAATTACGAATTAACATTAGCTCTTTTATTTTCAGGAACAAGTTATTATTCCATCGAAAGTTATAGCCTGGTATTTAAAGAAAATTAATTTTCAAGGTCAAGCCTTTACCATCGCTATGGAACCCTTTCGAAAGGTTCTAATAGATGCCGGTATCGAGTTATTGGATGAAAAGGTATGCTTTTTTGATTATTTAAAAAAAATGAGAAAATAAAAAGAAGAAAAAAAAATCATTTAACATTTAAGGAAAGATTGAATGACATTTTGATTGTTTCAATTAATTAGGAACCAAATGTTTATCCAGACAACGTTCCAGCAACCATCAATTCGGTCAAAGATCGGCAATCAGTGAAAGCTGTGATCACTGATTTCGATGTGAATTGTAATTGGGCCAAATTGACCTTAGCCATTTCATGTTTGAAACGTAAAGACGTATTGTATCTTACTGGTGCCCTTGACAAATGGGTATCTTGTGGCAATGATAGCCTGATATTAGGTACAATATTCATTGTCATTCAATTGATCTCTTGTATCTTTGAACAGTAATTTGTCAATTGTAATTTCGCAGGACCGGGCCCATTGATCGACATAGTCACCGAAGGTAGCGGTAGAACGCCAATTTCTTGTGGAAAACCCAGTGACACATTGAGAAATTATATTTTCGAATTTTGTAACGTTATCAATCCAAAACGATGTTTATTCATTGGCGATACGTAAGTTACTATTAACATTTCTCGTCGTTTCTTTTTTTTTTCCTCTATTCATTTTCCCCCTTTATTTTTTATTCTTTTTTTTATCTTTCTCATCCTCTTCTTCTTCTTCTTCTTCTTCTTTTTTCTTCTTTTTTTCTTTTATTATTATCACCTTTTTGAATATTTATTTCAGAGTAAATCATGATATGAAATTCGGTGCCTTGTGTGGCTTTCAAAAGTTCTTTGTTAGCACCGGCTGTGACAGTTTTGAGGAATCACAAAGAAACGATGATACACGTCCCGAATATTATCTACCAAATTTCGGCCAATTACTATCCATCCTCGAGGCAATGGCTTAAAATCTTATAGAAATATAAGGATATAAATAAGGAGAATTATATATCGTAATAGAGCGTTCTATTATTATTCTTTATTTTTCTCTATCTTTTCTTTTCTTTTCTTTTCTTTTCTTTTCATTTAATTTCCTTTTCTTCTGTTTCTTTTCTACGGAACTGAACACGGATAGATCACGATTTTACGTATTATGTATTAAATCTATCACTTTTTAATATTAAATAAATATATTCATTTATGAAAATTTATTTCAATATGTGATAATAATAATAATGATAATAATGTTATTATTTTCACACCATTGTCTTTTCTTTTTTGTTTTTCAGTCAATAAGTGTATATATATATATATATATACACTTATCTATGAAAATAAAAAATTAGTCAACATAAAAAATAATATTATGACTACTTACCAATTTACATTGTTAAAGATGATATATATATATATATAGTTGATATATATATATGATATATACATATATATAGTTATTATAGTATATAGTTACTCGTCTTCCAAATAAATAAGTATATATACGAGAGACTTTGTATCAATATTTAATGATTTTATAAATAAATTTTTGTTCCTTCGCTATTAAATCGATATTAAAAATGACAATGAAATATTATACTTATCGTTTTTGATAAAGTAAAGTTGGAATAAAAAAGGGTAATAACGAATGCTTTGTGCACACGTATTTTATCATAAAAAAAAAAACAAAAAAGAAAAAAAAATTATTTTTATCTATGATGACGTAATGATACAATCTAATACATTCGTTCTATCGATAATATTATCAATGCCAATCGAGATAATCAGTATCATTATAATCTATTAACTTTGTATTGTGTATGATTTGTTAAATAAGTACAAATTTCTTTTTTAAACAAAAAAAGGAAAGGAAATATAAACGACGTTCGATTGATCTTAAATTGAAGTCAGCCGGCAAGTTAGATCTCTGTTTTGTTCCAGAGGGAGAGGGAGAGAGAGAGAGAGAGAGAGTGAGAGAGAGAGGGGGGAGCGAGATAAAAAGAAAGATATATATATATATATATATATATATATATATATATATATATATATATATATGAGCTAAGATGAATCGTGGTTTATTACGATTTTGTTTTAATTACAAACAAGATAATAAATTCGTAAGAAGATAACAATGTTTTTTTCTTCGCTTCACTTTTTTTTTTTTTTAATCATATTCCGCCATCTTTTAAGAAACTTTTTTTAAATTCATGCATCTATAAAAAAAAAAAGAAAAAAAAAAAAAAGAAAAAGAAAAAACAATTATTAATTTACATAGAAATGATAAACAATTATCATTGACAAGTTAGACATATAGTTGAACAGATAGAATTTAAATCACGAATAAAAATAGAACGAGCGTATAGAAAAATTTTTTCGAAGAGAATCTACTGATGGTACGTCTCGAAAATTCCTCTACCACACATGGTTTTTCCTCAGTTCACGACGGAGCTTCGAGAGCGCAAGATCGTTTCTCTCTCTCTCTCTCTCTCTCTCTCTCTCTCTCTTTCGTTGCTCTCCGTTTCTCCTCGTTTTTTTTCGTGACAAGAGTTCGTAACAGTGTCAGTGATTAGTATTAGTGTAGTGGCGGTATTAAGTAGTATTAGTAGTAGTAATAATAATAATAATAATAGTAATAGTCATACTATTCACGTTGATTCTTATTGTGGATCCGATAAAATTTGTCGAATGATAGGAGGAAAAGAGTGCCCCAGGTGTTCGATATAATACTTACGTTCATATATATATATATATATATACGTATATACACACATACACACACACACACATATATATATATATACGCGTGATATTGCATAATACTGACGGTGTAATAATATGTACGCGAGTGGTGTGTGTTGTTAACGATAGATGAGAGATGGGCGAGGAAGGTGGAAAATAAAAAAATTTGCATAATCGAGTGATCTCTTTATTTGTTTTTTTCTTCTTTCTTCTTCTTCTACTTCTTCTACTACTACTACTACTATTACTACTACTACTACTATTAATATTACTACTATTTTTTTTTCTTTTTTTTTTCTTTTTTTTTTCCTTTTAATCTCAAAACTATTCGACGCGAATACTCTTTCTGATTTTTCATTGATAAAATGTTCCGATCGGTGAGTCACATTTTTTTCTTTAAATTTATCATTAATCATAAGGTAATCGTGGTAAGAGTCACAGTGATCGGCAAGGAGATAGGAGAGAAGGGAAAAGAGATAATGAAAAAAAAAAAAAAAATAGACCAAAAAAAAAGAAGATTCGTTCAGAAGTAATCTTTGTTGAAAAGTAAAATGTGCGTAGTGCGCGCGAGTCGTCGAAATGAAATTTTTTTGAAATGAAATTTTACATTGCGATAGTTTTTAATGTTTAATCTTTGTGAAGAAAGGGGGGGGGGGCGGGAAAAAAGAAAGAGAAAAAGAAATCGACTGCATTTGTTCGTTTTTTTTTTTTCAGGTCATCTTAGTTAGCTTACGTTTAATTTTATCCGTTTAACGCGCCTAGTATTTAACGATCTTATTCTCGATCCGGATTGTATTTGTGTGTTTACGAATCTCTCTCTCTCTCTCTCTTTTTTTCTCTCTCTCTCTATCTTTTTCTCTCTCTCTCTCTCTCTCTCTCTCTCTCTCTTTCTTTCATTGTTTCTCTGAATAATTCGTCTCAAAAGGTGATTTGAAGTTTACGTAAAATCGTTTGAAGATTAAGTTGATAAATATTCTTTTTTTCTGTTTATATATATATATATATATATATACGTATTTGTATATACATACGCGTGAATGTATATGTGTATATATATATATATTTTTTTTTTTAATGAGTACGTTTAACATCGGTATTATCACAGAGAAAATAAAATGAACTTTCTCTATCTTTTATTATATGATTTAAATTTTCACAGAGAAATAATACGCATTAGAGTTTTGTTAGATAAGACGAATGAAAAAAATCTCAATGGTTCAGATCTAATCGAAAATAGTTTATTCGATGATTTTTAATCACCGTAATATTTCGAAAAGCCATAAAGAAAATACAATTAAAAAGAAAAGATAAGTGTGTATGTATATATATATATATATACCTTTTTTTTTTCATTAGGAATACAGTTCACGGATCGCGATAACCTGCAGCATTGCGGTGATCCTAGCGATCGTACTTTGGAACGTTAGAAAAAGTTCATCGAAAAAGTCAAATAATAAAAGCAAGAAAATCAAAAAAATGTCACATGAAAAGAGTAATGGTTGCGAAAAAAAGGTCGAAACTGAGAAGAAAAAAATTGAAAAGAACGGAGAGACGGTGTCGAATATTCCAAAACTTAAGTGGGTTAAAGTAGGTCGGGTCGAGGAACTCTATTACTATCCTTTGAAATCAGGACGAGGGAAGACAGTGACCGAATGTAAATTTACGGAATTTGGAATATCGATAGAGAAGGATGGATTATTTACACTTAGAGATAGGTATTGAGAAATAATATTAAATTGATTTGACAATTAATGTTGAAATTTTTTAAATTATATACAAAAGATTTCTATTTAAATATATCGATATAATGATATTATAAAAAAATTTCAATATAATTTATCGATCAATCTAATAACTACGTTATAATAAAATTTTTCAATTTAATTATAACATCTATAAAATATTATAAATATTGACATTGTTCATTGGCATCCAATTTAACATCTCATTGAACGGTAATGATGTATTTATACGAATTAATTCGTATTCTAGTACGTGAAATAAGAAATTAATGAGAACATAAATTCGAATAATTTTTGTTAAATGTATTTGTTAAATGTACGTGCCAAGAACAAATATAATATATTATACGACTATATAAATATATATTAAAGTGTTAAATGAGAAATAAACGTGGGATTATATTCGACAGAATGTTTTTGGTTTACAACGACGAGACTTATAAATTTCAAACGGGTAGACAGTATCCAACGATGATTCTAGTCAGTCTATCCGCCGTAGATGAGTACAAGGTAAAATTAGAAGCCGTAGGAATGCCAAGTGTCGTCTTTAGAGTACCAGAGAAATCCGAAAAGAGTTCTGCAGCCATTGAATGTACGATGTGGTGGGGGGAGCCGATAAAGTGTATCGATTGTGGTCCTGAACCTGCTGAATGGTTATCTAGGTAATGCATACTAGAAAGTCTTATATAGAAAGTTCATTGATCGAGGGGTTGACTGACCTATTTTTTTATTTATCAAAAAAAAAAAAAAAAAAAAAAAAAAAAAGAAAGAACGAAAAGAAGATATACGAAGAAAACAGAGAGGATAACACAGCGATCTTATTCTTTTTTTTTTTTAATTACAGATTTTTAACCGGTACAAATTCGGGCTTACGTTTGGGCTATTCTTTGACTGATAGACGACAAATTACTACAGGACCTTGGGAACGTTTTTGCAAAGTTTATAATACTCTTCGTGACGAAGATGCGGTAAGTTAATATTAATTAAATTTAACATAACGTATCTATATCTATGTTTTATATATTTATCATAAAAACAATTATCTCTTTGGTTTTAATAGGGCTTGTTCTCAGATATTACGAGTTACATGTTAATGACATCTCAATCACTCGATAATCTGAACGAACGATTGGAAACACCCGTACCAGCTTTACAATTCCGTCCTAATATCGTTGTTTCCAGTGAGAAATCATTTGTCGAAGATAATTGGGAATGGATAAAGATAGGTGATCGTGCTATTATTAGAAACGTTAAACCTTGTTCAAGGTAAATACATATGTCTAACGTATAATAATCATATGATTAAATTGATAACGTATCTTTTTATATATTATTTTTATTAATTTTAATTGTCGATCATTCAAGATGTAAAATGATCAAAGTCGATCCAAAAACCGGTAATACCGAGAAGGAGGAACCATATAAAACTTTAAAATCGTAAGAGACGATCTAATTGAATTCTCTCGATCTAATCGATTGACAATTAGAATATTATTGTTAATGATCTTTTATTTCTTATTTTAGTTTTCGAGAACAAACGGATCCAAATAGAATTTCCGTCGATGGATCAGCTCCGATAATGGGTATATATTGTGGATCATACGTCACTGGTCGTGTTAAACTTGGAGATGACGTGTTCGTTCACGTATCAGCCGATAATTTTGAAAATTCGAAAATCTCTAACGAGGATATAGCTAAATCTAAAATCTGTTAACCTCCTATGATAGCAGCTATGAAGGCGTGCCTTTGTTTGTTAATGCAATTATAATCCACAATGTGGATTGTACGCTTCGTCGAATAGAAAATTTGTTAAATATTTTTAAAGAAATGAAAATGTTCCCAATGATAATTTCAAAAGATCAAATTAAATTATTTTTCAAGACATATTAGGCTAATACATCTCTTTCCTTTATATTTCTTCGAAGAATTATACGAGAAGAATTACAAGCCTAAATTAGTCTCGAAAAATAATAATTGATTTTAATGGGATCATTTAGGAATCTTTGATTTCCGGTCTGTTGTTGCATTTAAAAATTGAAAGGATTGAATTGCTTAAATAATTAAACCCAAGGAAAGAAAGAAAGAAAGAAAGAAAGAAAGAAAGAAAGAGAAATATAAAAATAGAAAGAGCAACGATATAAAATCTTCTTATAATTAAATTAGAAAATGTCGATCGCTCGATTTCTTCGAACGAAGAAGAATCGAATTTAATTATAGCACGACAATAATCGATAAATCAAAATGTTCTTATTATTAGAATGACGAAAATATAAATTCGTTGAAGCGCACTTAAAATCAATTTCTAGCGATTTTTCTCTATTATATGTATATATATATATATATATGTTTTTTTTATAATATATATTATACATATGTATATTATACACAGGCGCAATGTTTGATGTATCAAACAAAGAGAAAAAAAAAAAAAAAAAAAGAAAAAGAAAAAGCAAAAAAAATGTATTTGATTATGCGCCCAATAAAAAGAGAAGGAAAAGGAAGAAAAGCAAAAAAAAATAAATAAATAAATAAATAAATAAATGCCTTACTGTTAAAAAAAAGTAAAGAAAAGAAAATATATATTGTTTTTGAGGTGTGTGCGTAAGAGAATAATAAAGTTTCACAAAATCACACAATTCTTCAATTTCAAATTGAATTCTAATTAAATTAATATTCCAATCCAATTATTTATATAATAAAAGAATGATCGTCGTTTACGTTCGTTAGAATAAATACGAGCATGGATGCATTGGTTGATTCTCGTTACGTATTCCCCCGTTTCTTTTCCTCTTGATTGATCTGAATGAACGAAAGAGAGACAGATAACAATAAGTAAAATATGAGAAAGAGAAAGTAATCGTTATCACCGAATATAATAGCATCGTTTTAACCACTTAGAGTCTCGTTACAGTAGATAAGAATTGTATATACATATATAAGAACATACATACATAGATATGCATATATATGTATATATGTTCTCATATAGATATGCATATATATGTATATATGTATATATGTATGTACGTATATATATATATATATATATATATATATATATATGTGAATATGTATGTGTATTTTAGAGTAGGGATGCTATATAACCTATAGATGAACTCTATATATATGAACTCTATCTATGTTCTTATTCTCTTATTTCTTCTTTACTTTGTCTCTCTCTCTCTCTCTCTCGCTCTCTCTCTCTCTCTCTCTTTCTTTCTTTCTTCCTCTTCAATCTTTTTTCATAGTCAGTCTGCAATCAAGAGTCGCCGGTTATCGTTCAAGATGACCGGAATAATTTCATGGATCTGTTTCTGTGCGTTGCTTTCAGGAATATTTACGAGTCAACATCGAAGAAAGGACGGTGAGTATGTGAATATATTATATATATATATATATATATATATATATATATATATATATATATATAGACAGAGTGCATCAATAAAAAGTGTTCATCATGATTATCATAAGGTTTAATGATTTTTTTTTCGTTTTTTTTTTTTTTTTCGATAATGACCCAATACAAATCAATTTTCTTCGATAAGTTCTCATCATAGTTTCATTTAATTTCAATTAACCTCTTAAGCGGAATAATAAAACATCCTTCAAAAATCTTACATGACAAAAAGTGATCAAAAGTTGCATATCGTTATTAAATTAATATTCATTGAATTTTTCTTATAATAATGCTGTGTCTGTTTTATTTTTTCCTTTTTTTTTTCCTTTTATTTATTTTTTTTTCTTCTTTTCTTTTTTTTATATGAAAACAAAACACTGACCTCTGTCATGGTGTTTTTCGAAAGGAGAAGAAAAGGAAGAAAAAAAAAAAAAAAGAAAAAAGGAAATAATCAAAGACATAAAAATAATCCAAATAACTCATGATAATTCTATTGAATACTTCGTACCTCGATTCTATGATATATAATCGCTTTGACAATTAATTTCATTGGTGACAGATGTGATACGAAGGTGTTCGATATTTTTTTCTATTTCCTCTTCCTTCTCAAATCTTTCTTTCTTTTTTTTCTTTTTTTTTTCTTTTTTTTTCTTCTTCTTTTCCCCCCACTTCTTTTGCGATCAATTTTATCAACAGACATGACAAATAGGATTTCAGAATACTTTGGGACACTTGAGAACGAATACGCCAACGGAGATTCAAGAGAAAGCAGCGAGGGATTTGATTAGAAGATTATTAGGGAATGACGTAGCTCGTTTGTTCGATGTCATCGTCGATCCTAATCTTGGTCCTACGGGAAAGGACACTTTCCAGGTCGATTGTTCATTAGAAAAACGATTAGAATATACGATAATGAAACGTGTAAGAAAAAAAAGACAAAAAAAAAAAAATTGATTATCATTTTATCGTTGAAGATCAAGAAAAATGATCTTGAGAAGATCGAGATTCGTGGTACTTGTGGGATCGCTGTTGCATGGGGTTTGCATTATTATTTGAAGAATTATTGCAACGTTCATATATCCTGGGATGGAAATCAGATCGAGCTTCCACATACATTGCCAGATGTCCATGTTAAAATCACATCGAACGACAGGTTGATCATTTGAAAATTATTTATTTTAAATTTTCATTTTATATTAGATTAGATATAATAGATTTAAGTTTTTATTCGTTTTAAGGTTTAGATATTATCAGAATGTATGTACGTTGGGCTATAGTTCAGTTTGGTGGCAATGGGATCAATGGGAAAGGAATCTAGATTGGATGGCCCTTAATGGGATAAATCTTGCTCTCGCTTTTAATGGACAAGAAGCAATCTGGGAGAGAGTTTATGTCAAATTGAATCTAACCGTAGATGAGATAGACGAACATTTTGGTGGACCAGCTTTTCTTCCTTGGTAAGAATTTCAATAAAAAAAAAAAAAAGAAAAAAAAAACAAAAAAAAAAAAAAGAAAATCTTGTTTCTTCTTTTTTTCTTCTTCTTTTTTTTTCTCTCTCTCTTGCCATCGTATCCGAAGCAAATATTCTTTCATATATTAATTAAATCCTTGAATATAATCGAATTTAAATCTTAATAAATTTTAGGACAAGAATGGGCAATATTCGTGGATTTGGTGGATCATTGACTAATCATTGGCATTATCAAAGTATTCGTCTGCAGCATCGTATACTTCGAAGAATGAGAGAACTCGGTATTATCCCTGTATTACCTGCTTTCGCTGGTCATGTGCCAAGAGCCTTCGCCAGATTATTTCCAAATGCCAAAATGGCTAAGATCGATAGTTGGAATAAATTTGAGGATAGATATTGTTGGTAAGAAAAATTGAATAAATGAAAAACAAAACGAAAAAAAATTAATCAAATCATTCCATGGAAAATGACAAATTCAATTTGTATAATAATCACGATTCAATTCTCATTATTATTATATTTCAGTCCTTACTTGTTGGATCCTACGGATGAATTATTTCAAAGAGTTGGTGAAATGTTTTTACGAGCGGTATGTTGTCCAAAAAGAAAAAGAGAAAAAAAGCACAAATTTACGAACGAATTTTTATTATTTTTTTTTTCTTTTTCTTTTTCTTTAATTTTACATTTACAATCTTTAAGCTCTTTCCTTCGAATTCCGTAGTACATCGAAGAATTTGGAACGGATCATATCTACAATTGCGATACTTTTAATGAAAACGAACCTGGCAATAGTGAGCTAAGTTATTTGGAAAATGTTTCAAGGTCAATTTACACAGTCATGAGTAACGTCGATACTCAAGCAATATGGTAAGATTAATAAAAGTTATTATTTTATTTGTTAATAAGTATGACTGAGAATCAATAGGAAGAACAAAAGTTTTTCAAGATTTGAAAAATTATTTCTTTCTTATTGTTTTCTCTTTTTTTATAATTTCTTTTTTTTTTTTTAAGGTTGATGCAAGGATGGCTCTTCGTTCATGATCTCACATTCTGGACCGAGCCCAGAGTGAAAACTTTTTTAACTTCGGTTCCTATCGTAAGTACAAAAAAAAAAAAAAAGAAAAAAAAAAGAAGAAAAAAAAGAAAAAGGAAAGAGAATAATAATAATAATAATAATAATAATAATAATATTTATTGTTATTTATTGTACGGATAATGTTCGTCTATTAAGTTAAGTATATAAATTATTTATGGATGGAAAAATGATATTAGATATAAAATAATATATTTTCTTCCATTTCTAATATTTTCTGATATATATATATATATATATATATATATATATATATATATATATATATTGTTTTTCTTTTTATTTCTTTCGTTCTTTTTCTAATATCAGGGAAAAATGATAGTACTGGATCTGCAGTCCGAACAATTTCCACAGTACGCGAGATTGAAATCATATTATGGTCAACCTTTCATATGGTGTATGTTACATAATTTTGGTGGTACATTGGGAATGTTTGGTTCGGCAGAAATCATCAATAAAGTACGTATTGATCATACGAAATAATACGTATGAAAAGAAGAAGAATAAAAATAAAAATAAAAAAGGAAAAAAATAAACAAAGAAACCAAAAAAAAAAAAAAAGGAGAGAAAAAGATAATACCATTTACATAATAAACTCTAACAAAGAATATGTTACCTTTTATTTATATTAAGCGAGTGTTCGAAGGAAGAAATATGGCCGATAGTACGATGGTAGGAACGGGCCTCACACCGGAGGGTATTAATCAAAATTATGTCATTTACGAATTGATGAACGAGATGTCTTATCGTCGCGAACCCGTTGACCTTGATTCATGGTAAATAATCCAATAATATCTTTACGCAATCTTAATTAAATATTTCTTCGAATATATTTATTTTACATTGATTATTATCACATAAATTATTCTCAATTGAATTTATAATGACGTATGTATCTATGTATGTTTGTATGTATGTATGTATGTAAACTATTAATGATACGTCAGTATTATTTAATATATTTTTAGGTTTGGAAATTATGCTACGAGAAGGTACGGCGCAGAAAATGAGTACGCAACGAGAGCTTGGAAAAATTTTGGAAAAACAATATATAATTTTGTTGGATTAGAAAAGATTAGGGGAAAGTACGTCATTAGCACGTTGCCGAGTTTAAAACTATATCCTTGGGTAAGAGAAAAAAGAAGAAAAAAAAAAAAAAAAAGAAAACAAAGGAAAAGAAAAATCGTTCAAAAAAAAAAAAACAAGAAGAAAGAAGAAAAAAAAGGAAAAAAAAAAAAAGAAACGAATAAAACAAATTGAAATTTGTTCGATGATCTTAATAGCATTGAAAGAAAAATATTATTTATTCTTTATAGACTTGGTACGAACCGGATAAATTTTTAAACGATTGGAATACATTAATGATGGCACGATACGGAAGAGGGAATAGTACTCTTTATAAACACGACGTGGTCGATATAACGAGACAAGCACTTCAATTAATGGCCGATCGGTTTACGCGAATATCGTTGATTCGTTTAATAAGAAGAATCTAACTGCATTACGGTAATTGATAATTGACATTTCATTTTTCAAATTTCTCTGTTATTTGTATAATATAGGTGTATATTTTTTTCTACTTGTTTCTTTTTCTGTCTTTCTTTCTTTCTTTCTTTCTTTCTTTCTTTCTTTTTTTCTCTTTCTATTCGTTTCTCTTTTTTTTTCTTTTTTTTTTTTCTTTTTTCGTCCTTTCCATTTACAACAATTAATCGACGATTGATTAATCAACAGATCGCATTCCTCTATGATGTTCGATATATTCGACGATCTCGAAATGATTCTGGCATCGAGTAAAGATTTTTTATTAGGTGTATGGTTGAAAGATGCAAAAGCTATGGCAAAAGATAATAATCAAAAGGAACTCGAGTCTTATGAGTATAACGCGAGAAATCAGATCACTTTATGGGGACCGAACGGTGAAATAAGAGATTATGCTAACAAACAATGGTCCGGAATCATTATCGATTATTTTAAACCAAGATGGATGATATTTCTCAAAGCACTCGACGATACTCTTGCTAAGAAAATAATACTTAACGTGACCGAAATTAATGAGAAAATTTTTATTAACGTCGAGGGA